TTTTTTTTTTTTTCTCACTACTTCCACAGATTCATTTCAAAGTGATTGCAAAGGCCAATGTCTTGAAATATCAGAGCCTGCAACTTAAACCCCTGACTGTTAGCGCTATGGCACTGACCAGTGTCCTCACACATGGTGCAAAGTAAAAGTTTGACATACATCAAAATGCATATCGGGTCCAAACCCGTGGAAGACCTTTCCTAAAATCTGAATACTATTCCAACAGAGACATTGCCTACAGTACAAATCCAGCATGGCAAGTTTAACCACATCCATCTGTGGATGATTGTCACTTTTAGCAACGGATCTCCATTTTTGTCACAGCGCATACATTTTCAATAGAAATGATATAAAAATGTAACGTATGGCTCTGCCAATTATTTGCAAAATAAAAAATAAAGACATGCTTCCTCAATGGCCATTATTAATAATTTCCGTGTAAATCATTTGTAAAAGTCTTTATGCAATCTGTTGCATTCAATTCATTAAGACAACTTAACACATTTACAAATAGTTTGCACAAACTCTCTTTCATGAATGAGGCCCTACCAATTTCTCTGCATTTCAACTAATCTTCATGAACTAATTTCCCCAATGGGACTGGTCATTATGCATTATGCATGTAGTTAATAAATCCAAAAAGTCCTTCTAGTGCAGAACACCTAAAATTTAAATTGGCATTAAAGCAAACTATTGCAGAATGTAGAATAAAGTCTCATTGATGTAAACAGTTTACATAGTACCTATCAGTACCATTCTCCCACTACACAGTCTTTTTTGCTGTCATAAGGTCTTCAGTAATCCATGGATGATTATTTAGAGTTGACTTAATACCAAAAATGTCTTTTTGACCTATTTCTTCATTGCTGTTATCAACAACGTTGCGCTCTGTATTGTTGATTTATTCTGCTGGTCTGCTCTGGGTTTTGTAGGCCTGCTTTCGAAGGTGAGTCTCAATCTCCTCCCTGAACACCAGCATGCCCAGGTGAGAGTGTGACGCCTCATTCATGGCCTTGGACTGGATGCACATGCGGTACTGTTCTGGGGTCAGTTCATCTGCACACTGCTTCTCATGCCACAGGTGGAAGAGGCCTGATACAGGAGTGCGGATCACAATCTGATCACTCCGTAGGTACTTCCTGTACAAGTGCACATCTTCTACACCCCAGCCTTTCACTTCCAGATCAAATCCCCCTAGAAAAGGGGAACCTTGAGTTTATTTATATGTAACAAGCAAAATATCTTCATTGTAATTTGATGCATCGATTTTAAACTATACTGGAAAAATGTATTATTTTACTTCACAAGTAAAATAGAGTTACTACAATAAAATACAATAAATATTACTGACATATTTGGATCAGCTCTTTCGTCTACTTTTGCTGAATTTTTGTTATAAAATGTAAAACTTTTCCCACATTTAAATACACACTGACTTACCAATGCTGAGGAAGTCAGAGCGATACTGACAAGTCATGCCAAATCCAAAATCCCTCCAGAATCCGGCATCTTTTTTATGAATCTGTAAACACCATACAATTGCATTATTCACTTTAGTATCAGTAGAAAGCCATATATGCTACAAACATGTAGGTTCATAGAAAAATCTTGATGTTACATACCAGCTGATTCTCAACGGGAGGCGGAAACTCAAGATTTCCATAAACTATAGTTGGATTGTACAAACTGAAAACTACTGGATAGAAAACTCGTTTTCCTTCAAGGGAGGAAAAAAAATGAACATTTATTATGAAAGTTTGTGAAAAATTACATTTTTAACAAACATTTTTTTGTATAAAAATATTGAGTTTCTTTTTACTGTTCTCACAAACATGCAAAACAAGTCAATTTCATTATTAATTTATTTGCTACACATACACTATACCCTATAGTACAATCAAACAACAGTGCAAAATGGAAGAAATACAGATGTTTTATCTAGTAATGGGTCTATGAATTTTCAGATATAAATGATTGTTAAATGACAGACCTGGAGCTGTATTGAGGCGACAGGTGCCAAGAAATTCCAGTGTGAAGTAGATGTCAACATCACAGAAGAACATCAACACATCACCCCCTTTCTCCCACGCGTGAGCGCCGATGTCGAGACCACGGCCACGTGAAAACTCCTCATCCACAGGGATCAGGGTGTAGTTACTGAAGTTTTCCTCACTGCAAAAGATCATAAATAAAAACAGTGTAGGAAACAAAATGAGGTTTAGAAGATTTATGCCAACCAAAGGGAGTAACAACACAGTGTTTCAACTACTCTACCATTTATACACCAGAGGTCTGTAAGATTTTTTAAAATTATTTGAAAAAAATCTCTCATGCTCAAAAAGGCTTCATTCATCAAAGATACAATAAAACAGTAATATTGTGAAATATTATGACATTTTAAAGTAACTGTCTTCTATTTGAATATATTTTAAAATGTAATTTATTCCT